AGCTTGTGCAAGCTTCCTGTGGTCCTCAGTTACAAGGGGGCTTCGAGAGCCAGGAGTGGTGATGCACATCTGTAATCCCAGCTCTGGAGAGGCTGAGACAGGAGCATTGCTGCGAGTTTGAGATCAGCCTAGGCTACATGGTGAATTCAAGGCATACCTGGAATTCATGGCAAGACTCTGTTTCAAAAACAAAACAAAACAAACAACCACAAACAAAATGCAGCGGAGGATTTGGATGAAAAACAGAGTCCCACCGAGCATGTTGATGACCAGGAGGAGACCAGCAGTCAGACCCCCATGTGCAGTGCTCAGTGGGCCAAGTTTAGATCTTTACCCCTGTTCTGAAAGCACAGGGAAGTTGCTGCGGGGTCCTAAGCAGGGGAGAGATGTGATCTAGTCATATTTCCCGAAGATCACCGGCTGCCGTAGAATGGCTAGGATCAGAGCCGCGTGGACTCCATTAGGAATCTTGAGCCATGCTTTTTGGAGGATCTTGTCCACAAGACCTCCTTGATGGGTGGTGGGAATCCCCTCTTTGTGGAAATATAGGCACTCAGGACCGTCCCACCTGAGGGATGGCAGTGGGAAACACCCAGCTTGAAAGCAATTTTTAGGAAGTTCTGGAAGAGTTAATACTTTGTTTTGCCTTTTTGTTTGTTTGTTTGGTAGTTGAGACTAACCTAGAACTCATTATGTAGCCCAGGCTGTTCTTGAACTCACAGCGATCCTCCTGCCTCAGCCTCCTGAAGGAGTTAATACTTTGACTTGCCTTGACTATAAATGTTTTGTTTTGCCTGTGACTTTTTATTTTATTAATTAAAAAAAAATTTTTTGGTACCAGGGATCAAACTTGGGACCTTGTGCTTGTGAGGCAGGCAGCAGAATCACTGAACTAAATCCCTGGCCCCATGACTTTTTATTTTGTTGGGGATGATAAAATGAGAAGTACACAAGTAAGTCAGACCTGGTTTGTAGTGACTGAATCACTTACATTCCTCACCTGGGTCTGGGTTTTTCTGCACGCATAGGAAAGACGCCACCTCCGCTCTCCAAGGACAGCACTGTCCACCTCTTTGAATTCATTTTTCATGGACTTGAGGCCAGGGCCATTTTGACCCCAGAAGTATCTATTAAACTTTGCCTGGCTCTTTCATAAAGTTACTGGAGTTAAACTAAAAGATAAAGTGTATTAGATATCCAGTGCCTAGCAGATGCTCAAGAAATGATAGGCAGTCCTGCTGCTGGTACACATATACATGTTTTTTTTTGCCACTGTGAGTAAAATGTGATTTGTGGTAAAAGCCTGGACCCTAATAGGCCCACCTGTGGGATAGTCTAAGCTATGTAGACCAGGTTTTCTACCAGCTTCATCTGTCCATTTGTTCATTAGCCTGCTCACCCATCTACCCATCTACCCAACCATCCAAACATTCAAACAGGCCTAGGAACTAGCACCTGTAAATAGAGCTGTGAACTCACTGAACATTGCTGTCCAGATGCAGGGGAAATATGTTATTAAGAACAAAAGAGCCAGGCATGGTGGTGCATGCCTGAAATCCCAGCACTCAGGAGGCTGAGGCAGGAGGATTGCTGCAAGTTCAAGGTCAGCCCAGGCTGCATAATGAGTTCAATGCCAGCTTGCACTACATTGAGAGATCCTGTCTCAAAAAACTGAAACAAAAAAAAAAAAAAAGGAGAGAAGAAGTAGCTATTTACAGTGCAATCCCTGTATTTTGATTTGCCACATAGAGCATGAAAGAACCTCAAAACCAGATTTCTCCTTGCAAAAGCCCTTCTGTGACAGTGCCACCATCCAGCCAAGGTTATTGTGGGTCCTGGGCCCTCAGCTTCATCCTGGTGGCTGGAGTCATTTCTATACCATGAGAAACAGCAGGTGCTCAGATGTAGGGTATAGACAGAGGGAGGGGAGCCCAACCCTGAGACATCAGGTGTGACCTGTGGCACCAGAGGATTAATTGATCAAGGTGGCAGGATACTGGGGGCCAGGTGAAGGTCTCAGGGTTTTTATCTTCCCTCTGGAAATGAGAGATTTGCAGAATCTTGGATGCTGTCAGTATAACATTCCCTCATTCTATTAGGACCCTCTAAGAGTCTAACTTCCAGATCTCCAACTCCAGTGTACTTAGAAGCCCTTTGAAGCTATGAATAAGATTGCAGTTGCCCCTCTGTCTATGGTTAGTTTTTACCACAAACTCTAGCAAATGAGCAGTTAGTATTGGAAGCTTCACAGCTCCCAACTTCACAACTCACCTGGCCAAAGGTACAGCGTCAGGATAATAAAAGACAAGACCTTAATGCATACATGCAGGGGCCCAGGATGGTCAGAGCTCTTACAAGGCTAAGGCACTGTGTCCTAGAACTTGCCATTATTTATTGAACACTCAGTTTCTGGATGGGGCAAGGTGCAATGCTGGGAACAGTGCAGTGGGGAGCACTGATGGTAGCGACAAGGGAACCAGACACTGTAGCAGGAACAGACCAATGATTAATGGAAAATTCATTTTTCCTCATAGATTAATTTCTGCCTCTACAGAAGTTTTATGTATGAGTCATGCTGCCCTTAGCTGCACTATTGTCTTTCCATCCAAGATGTCTCAGTGTCACAGATTATTGAGACCTCGCTTGTGACCAGTGGCATGAGAGTTGTTCCTTTCCCACACACCGACTGCTGGCTCTTCTCAGACTCTGTGTGTGTGTGTGTGTGTGTGTGTGTGTGTGTGTGTGTGTGTGCGTGCACCCCGCCTGCGCTCTTCTGAGTCTGTGTGTGTGTGTGTGTGTGTGTGTGTGTGTGTGTATGTGTGTGCGTGCATGCGTGTGTGAGTACCACGGATCAAACTCAGGACTTTGCTCTTTCTCCCTGGCCCTCTTCTCAGATTTTTAATATGAAAATCCACTTTATAAATCTGCAGCTTGCTCATGGTGGTCTCCCATCAGTTAAGAAGCTGTATTTAGTTTGGTGTGGTGGGGTGCACCTATAATCCTGCACGCAGAAGGCTGATGCAGGAGGATTGCCATGAGTTTGAGGCTGCCCTAAACCACACAGTAAGTTTTAGGCCAGCCTGGGCTACCTACATAGTGAGACTTTGTCTAAAAAACAGAAAGTTGGACTTGACTCAGAAATATCTGTGATTGAAGAACAGATGACACTCCAGGGACATTCACCTGTCCCCGTCTGGACTTTTCTCAGGGTTTGATGCCAGGCAAGTGGACAAGGCACTGGCCAGAAGATCAGATTTCTCTCTTGAACTCTGCCAGAACCATGGGCAGACTTGGCCAAGTTCCTTAACTTCTGGCACTTAGCTTAACCTCACGTAGCCAACACTCTGTGATCCCCTGTCAAGTTGTAACAGAAGATTACAAATAGACGTTCTCTCATTTACCGCAAAGACAACCATTTTTGTTACCTTTTGTATTTTAGGTTTAAATCACCCCTCCCGTGCTAAATTAAAAACTCTTTGAAGCAGGATCCCAGCCTTGTACCTGTACATCTTGGTAGCTCCTAGAATATGCAGCAGGATACTTTCCACACAGCAGTACTTTGCAGCTGTGTTTGCTTTCTTGATCATACACTGAGGAGGGAGCCCCATATGCAGCTATTGATGACCAACAGCTGCTGGTGGCCACCCAGGTAGCAGTGACTGACAGATGGGGCGATCAGCAAGCTGGCTCCCAATCCATGTGCTGCATCTCAGTGTGAAAGCTACCTGCTTCTCTACCTGCAGTTATTCTCTGGTGCCTCAAAGGAAGAGTGGGACTTTAGGAAGAAGGGCTGACTCGTGTTCCTGCATGGCTGGGGTTGGAAGCCTGCCTGCAGTCACAGCTGTTTTCTAATTTCTGCCTTCATATTGTGGATGGCAGTGGGTGTTGCATCATAACCGGTTACTTCTGAGTCAAAGTACTTCTGACCTGAATCACCAGGTTATGGTATCTGCCTGGTCACTGGAGTTTGGACTCCAGCTCTGATATTTGGTGGTGGTGGTGGTAGTGGGGTGTGAGTGTGTGTGCGTGCATGCATAGCTATTTTGTATTTGTGTGTGCCTTGACACTCCAGATGCTTTGAAGTTGCTAAATTATTCACACAAAGTACTGAAGCTTTCATTTTTGTCAATGTGGTAACGACTTCAGGCTCCCAGCTCTTACTGAATGCAAATTCTTATGGTGGTAGGAAGCGGAACTTTCCCAGCTTATCTCTCAGCTCCAGGTTAACAGATTGACTACAACTAAAAATTTAAGTGGCACAAGAAAAAAAAAATCAATGTTATTGTACTGTGTGCCCCAGAGATGGGAGCATAGAAACCATTGTGCATGTGGTGCAGTTAGAGAAGAGCCAGGTACAATTTTTTTCCATGGAGAGTAAGAGTCAGAAGTACTCACAATGAGAAGAGTCACATTCTCAGCTTGAGGAGATATTTCCCTGGTGTCTTAAAGTAGGGAAATAATCCCTCCCTGGGATTTAGAAAAGACTGGAAGTTGGGAACTACCTTCCTTCCTTCCTTCCTTCCTTCCTTCCTTCCTTCCTTCCTGCCTTCCTTCCTTCCTTCCTTTTTCTTTCTTTCTTTCTTTCTTTCTTTCTTTCTTTCTTTCTTTCTTTCTTTCTTTCTTTCTTTCTTTCTTTCTTTCTTTCTTTCTTTCTTTCTCTCTCTCTTTCTTTCCCTTCCCTTCCCCTTCCCCTTCCCCTTCCTTCCTTCCTTTGTTTCTTCCTTTCTTTTTTGGTACTCGGTATCAAACTCACTTGCCAGGCAGGTGCTGTGCCACTGAGCTAAATCCCTGGCCCTGGAATTATGATTCTTCTTCTTCTTCTTTTTTTTTTTTTTGGACCGGGGATTGAACTCGGGTCCTTGTGCTTGCAAGGCAGGCCACCAAACCGCTGAGCTAAATCCCCGGCCCTAGGAATTATGATTCTTATTAGGAGTCTTCTTCAAGTTGTGCCATCACTCTGTGGCCATTGGTAACTGATTGATTGTGTCTGTCTCCCATAGCTTGGGATTGCAGTTGGGTTCTTGGTCCCTCCTGTTTTGGTACCCAATGTCGACGATCAGGACAAGCTTGCCTACCACATCAGCATCATGTTCTTCATCATAGGAGGTGTGGCCACTCTCCTCTTCATCCTGGTCATCATAGGTAAGGTCACCAGGAGACTGAGAGGTGGGCAGGGAGGTTCTTCTCCTTTGGTGGGATCCTTGGGAACATGGCCCTACAATGCCATGGACTTTTACAGAAACCGGAGCCCAGGCTTCCTAGGATCTTCAGCGTTTTAGCCTGTGACTTTCCCCCAGTAAAGTGCTAGCTGCATTTTGTCAGCAGCTCAGTAAAGGTTTAACTGTAATTAAATTCTGCTTCACCAGAACTGGGGAGAGTGTTGGTCCCTTTAATGGATCCCCAGTGAGGTCCCCCAGCATCACAGAACTGTGCTAAGAATACCTGATCATATCTAGTCCTCAACAAATCCATAAGTGAACCACCATATTAGCCCTAATCACAAAGAAAAATGAGACTTAAAAGAAGTGATTAAAGTTATTCAAGACTAGACAGATAGATTAGACAATCTTATTCAAGATTAGTGAGTGGCAGACTGGATTCAAATGTAAGTTTGTCTAATCCCATACTCTAAATTTCTAAAAGAAGAACAGAAAGGTATCTATAAACACAAATAGTATCAGAGATTAAACAGAATACTCAGAGACAACATGTCCCAGATGCTTTTTAAAAGAATTATAAATAATACCTGCTTGTCTTAGATACCTTTCACATTACTGAGACAAAATACCTGATACTCAAAGGAGGAAAAGTTTATTGTAGCTCACAGTTAGCAGAGGTTTCATTTCATAGTTGGATAGCTTCAAGGCAGAGTGGCATGGAAGAGGGACATTGCAACAGTTCATGGTGGGCAGAAGGCAGCAAGGTAGCAAGCAGCCAGCAGCAAGCAATGACAGCAACCCTCTTTCTGTCATTTATATTCTATCCAGGCTACATGCCCTTAGGGTGGACAGCAGTCACATCTAGGGAAGGCCTTCTCATTATCCACACCCAGAGCTATGCCAAATCAATCAGAAGACTAATTTAGTAATCATACACCCTTAATCCCAGCACTGCATACTCTAGATCCAGCCATCTCTGAAAAGCCCCACCTATAATCACGAGGTTTGGGGGAGCACATCTAGACACAAGCCATAATACTGTTCATTATGGAAAAATCTAGAAAATACTGAAAAGTATAAGGAATGGCCATTAGTTTAGCCCTATACATGTTGATTGCAACCATCAGTCTCAGGTGACTGCTGTAACATTTTATATGTATGTACATCTAATCATGGAGGCATTTGATCAACAAAGCTTTGTATCTTCTGTTCTCACCTGAGTGATGTCATGTAGGTGTGGACAAATTCAGAAACAGCAAAGTAAAGGTTTTCATTTCAGTTAGTCTGCTGTCTAAAGGTTAACTAGTTTTTTCCTAATGCCTCAGAGTTCCATCTCTTGTGTTAAAGGTTTCGTTCTTGTCTGCTGGTCTTACCCCAGAGTCAAACAGTTCCGTAACTATGAACCCCATCTAACTGTTCTTCTTCTGTGGTTCCCTCCCTGGATCCAGGATAAGAAATGGCAGCCTGGTGCCTTTCAAAACTGGCAGAAGCCAAATGTGGTGGCACACGCCTGTAATCCCAGCACTCAAGAGTCTGAGGCAGGAGGATTTCTTCAAGTTTGAGGCCAGCCTGGGCTACATAGTGAGTTCAAGATCAGCCTAAACTATACAGTGAGACCCTATCTCAAAAAAATTAAAAATAATAAATAAACAAAATAAATAGTAATTAGCCAGCTCCAATTTTTTTTAATAGTAGATGAGGGAGGGCCTGGCCCTTTACAATGGAAAACCTGGAAGTTAGGACATTTCTTTTGTTTTGGCATTTTATTATCAAGCACAGATACTAGCTAATTGAGTAAAGAATGGAAAATCGTATCTTCCCTCTAGTTTGTGGACGCCAAATCTTTAAGACAACAGCTTCTGGTGCAGAGCTGGGACCTTGGCCTTGCTCTCTTTCCTGATGGAAGGGGAGGTGAACTGGCAGGACAATGGCGGAGGGGTTCCCCGTGGGTGGAAGTTCTGCAGGACTCTTTGCAGAGGAGGAGGAGGAGGAGGAGGAAGCAGCTCTGAAATTGGGCCTGGAGTGTTTTAGGGTGGAGGTCCCTTTGATCGGCTGAGAGGGTGACCCTCATTTGCAGAGCCTCCTCTCAAGGAGACGGCCTGCTACCCTTCAGGACCATCTCACGAGGCGTGGGACAGCCATATGCTGCTTTCTTAGCCTCAGTTCTGGGAGTGATTTAGCTGAATAACTAGTTAAACTGTCCTGCTCCCAGAATACTGAATGGCCCTCAGTGCATTGGAAATGATCACACCAGCTGCACTGAAACAGAGCTAAAAGGAGTGGTTTTCAGAATCCCTTCTCTAGCTCTTCAGAACAGTGTCGGCTTGGAGGAACCAGGCTTGTTCTTGTCTCCTTTGTGAGGCAGATATCCAGCACAAAGTTGATTTCAGCCTTCTAGGGGCCATTAAGAAAAAGCAATCGAAGGACCATGTGCTAAGCCCCAGAAAATGAGAAGAAGCTCCAGGAAAGGAGGCTTCCAAGTTCTAATGGAAGAATTGTAAGGGTCAGGGGAATGGATGTCTCTGGAGACCCCTGCAGTAGGTCCCAGCCTCCTGTGAGCCATCACAGCACCGGCTAAAGGTTAAAGAACAGATGGAAGGAGACTTATAGTGGAGCTGAGTCTTGGGTCCTGGTCAGTGCTGCTGATGGCAGCGAAGACAAAGGCCCCCAAGCACATCCAGTATTTACTGATTGCAATCGTGAGAAGGAATAGGGAGCTGGGGAGCTTGGAAGTCATCTAGTGAATCACTGTTGAACACCTGGCGTGATGGTGCCAGGCAGGGCTGTCAGGGAGTAGTAGGCACTGCTCATCTTGTTAGGGTAGAAGAAACCCATACTGGCACAATTAACAACCTACAAGGTCAGTGAGAAGCGACAATTCAGGGGAAAGGATTTTAATTGGGGTCATGCTGGTCTCAGCAGCGCATAATTCAGCAGGTCCCTGTCACCTCACAGACCAGGACTTAGGCTTCGGTGACAGCCACTAGCAAAGGAGCAGTGCTGGCCCCACTCTGTCAGCTGACATGCCCGTTTCAGTCACGCAGGGCTTCCATCCGACTCCTGGTATAAAACAGTTCCTGGATTAGGGAAGGCAAGAAGCGCGTGCTAGCACTGGGCAGGGATGTCTGCTACAAAGAAGGAGCACTTGCTTTGGCGTCTTAGCTCCTTCTGAGGTGATGGAGCCGTAGGCTGGATGGAGTGGGACCACAGGACTTCTCAGTTACCTCCGTTTCTTTCCCTTCAGTGTTCAAGGAGAAGCCAAAACATCCCCCTAGCAGGGCCCAGTCCCTAAGCTATGCATTGGCATCCACTGATGCTTCGTACTTCAGTTCCATCGTCCGGCTCTTCAAAAACCTCAACTTTGTGCTGCTTGTCATCACCTATGGTAAGGAGCAGAGGTGCCCTAGCGCGCTCCGGAACTGGGAACAGGAAATGCCCAGCCTGGTGTATCTCTGCGTCTTCCTCTTCCCAAATCCCATGTGTGTAGGTGAGGTTGTTCAGGCCGTCAGAGGCCACCTTTGCCTAGGGGCCTTTGTAAAGCCCGCCCTGCAGTCTGCCTTCCCGTGTCGGGTTATCTGACCAGTGCTAGTCAGTCCTCCATATCCATCCTCGTGTCTCCCTGTGATCTTTCCTCTCCTCCTTACTGTGCTATTACTTGAATGTCCTAATATTTACCATTAAAAAACAAAACATTTCTGGCCTCCGCCACTAGACTGAACTCCGGTAGTGGCGTTTTTGCTTGTGTAATACCCTGCGGGGGCCAGCCTGAAGCAAATACTCTAGTAGTGATGGAAGAATGAAGGAACAAACAGATGGACAGACACACGTCGAATGTCACCATCTGAGTCGCTCTCTTCCAGTCCTCCTCCGCTTGTAACAGTGATGCCCTGTCTTTTGCCTAAATGCAAAACACATCCTCCTTTCCTTTCATTTCATTTTCTTAACCTTTGGCAAGAGAAATTTGCATGCTTACTCTGCTGTATTAGCTTGCTTTGCTAGTAGGATGTTTTCTGCATCTTCTTTCCAACTTTTTTCTTTTTCTTTTTTCAGTATTAGAGATTGAACCCTTTGCACTGAGACACATCCCCAACCCATTTTTCTGTCTTTTAAATTTTGAGACAGAGCCTTGCTAAATTGCCTGGGTTGGAATCAAATTTGCAATCCTCCTGCCTCAGCCTCTGGAGTGCTAGGATTACAGGTGTGTGCCACCACTCTGGGCTTCCAACCTTTAATAAGACAGTAGCATAAGAGAATGGCAAGATCAGAGTGCCCTGCATGGCATTCCGTTACAGCAAACCTGTCCTTTAGGTAAATACTTGTCTGTTAATTGGTGCTCTTTGTTCAGAAAGTTACAGATCCACCCATTTGGGCTGACCATTTAATCCACTGATTAAAGTTAAAATGTAGAGTCAACTAAGTGTGTGACATTCTCAGTAACCCATCAAACAAAGGAATGAGATTGGTTTGGAAAGAACTGTTTTTAGTGGAACTCCACTTAACTATAATGTCATGTTTTCTATAGGCCCACAAACCACTGTTTTATAACAATGGCATTTTATTTTAATTCCCACCACAGCCAAATGAGGTAGCCTGAATCTCATTGATATTAGGTAGCTAGACCTTGCTTATATATCTTTTAAGTGAGAGAGCTCAAACTTGAATGTGCCTAACTCCAAAAACTGCATCCTTAAATACCTGTTCCATAATTGCCGTGTACTCCATCTCATTTTAGGTGTATCAGTTCCCTTATTTTAAAGTGTTTATCTGCTGAGGCACTAGATAAGAGATGTTGTCTATCCTAGTAGAAAAACAGTCCTAACTTTTTTGGACACAGGGTCTTTCTGTGTAGTTCAGGCTGTCCTTGAACTCACTATGTAACTCAGGCCAGGGGTGGTGGTGCAAGCCTGTAATCCCAGCATTCAGGAGGCTGAGGCAGGAGGATTGCTGTGAGTTCGAGACCAGCCTGGGCTACACAGTGAGTTCCAGGTCAGTCTCAACTACAGAATGAGACCCTGTCTCAAAAAAAAAACCAACCAAACAAACAAAAAAACTCAGGCCAGCCTCATACTCAGAGCAATTATCTCGCCTCAGTTTCCCAAGTGCTGAGATTGCAGACATGCACCACTCCACCCAACTATAAGCAGTCCTAACTTCCAGGTTACACCAACCAAAAACAAAAAAACTCAGGCCAGCCTCATACTCAGAGCAATTATCTCGCCTCAGTTTCCCAAGTGCTGAGATTGCAGACATGCACCACTCCACCCAACTATAAGCAGTCCTAACTTCCAGGTTTACAGAGGCTAGTCGCTTCTCATATGGAGTAGTTCTAGATTACCAGATTAGTTTTTAAAGTTTTGGTTCTCCATTCTTCATCCCCTGCAGTTTCTCAGTTTTCTCTAAGTATGTCTGCTTTACCTTTAAAGTTTCTAGCACTTAGAGACATCCAACTAAGAAAGTTATATGTGTGGCCCATCACAGAGATGCAGTCAAGCATATACGGAACATCTCTTATTCGGGGGGTGTGGAGGGAAATCTCAGGCTGTACAGATAGGGTGAAGCCAGATCCCCTTAGGGGTCCTTTCCAGTCTCAGGATTCTATGACTTCAAGAACTTCCACATTTCCCTAAAGTGAAATTTTCCAGTGCATTGAACTTTGACCACCAAGCCTTATTACATCGGACAGCAAGGTGTGCAAGCCCTGCCTTTCGATTCTAGGGAGATAAGGGTTTAGCAAATGCTTCCTGTGGCTAAAGATGATGGGCCCATTCCAGAGGTTGAGGTCTTCTGTGCTGGAGGCTACTGATGGCAGGATCAGGTCCCTGACCTTGAAAGCCAGACAGCAGAACAGAATGCTCTGGGAGCAGCGTTGCTTCCAGTCATTGAGGATCTGACACTAGACCACATCATTGTGGGCAAAGCAACTAGTTTCTCTTTCCCTCTTATGTGGCCGGTGGCCTATATGATTCCCCCCACACACTTACACACACACACACACACACACACACACACACACACACACACACTAGGGATTGAACCCAGGGGCACTCTACCACTGAACTGTATCTCCAGTCCTTTTTATTTTTTGTTTTGAGACACCTTCTCACTACCTTGCCTAGGCTGGTCTCAAACTTGTGAGCCTCCTGCCTCAGCCTCTTAAGTAGCTGGAATTACAGGCATGTGCCACTGTGCCTGGTGCTTATATGATCTTATAAAATCTGGCAGAGCAGGCCAGGTGTGGTGGCATACGCCTGTGATCCCAGCACTCGGGAGGCTGAGGCAGGAGGATCGCTGCAAGTTTGAGACCAGCCTGGGCTACACAGTGAGTTCCAGAGCAGTCTGAACTACATAGTGAGACCCTGTCTCAAAAAAAAAAAAAAAAAAAAACCCAAAAAATCGAGCAGAGTAGTTTTAATCTTCTGGACATTCTTCCTAATCTGTTTGGTTAAATTATAACACAGGAAATAAATGAGAAACACTTCTTGAATGATGGAGAAAGGATCTTAGAAAACCTGCTCCCCTACAAAAGCAGTAGAAACAATGGCAAAAATAATTATTAAAATCAATATTTTTTGTTTGTTTTTGAGACAGAATCTTACTATATAGTTCAGGCTGGCCTCTAACTCACAGTGATCTTCCTGCCTCAGCCTTCTGAATGCTGGGATAACAGGTGTGAGCCACCACAGCTGACTTAAAAATCAATATTTTCAAAGCTCTTAACCAAAGGCTTACAATGATGCAAATAAAGTTTTTTTAAGAAAATCGGCTGAGTGTCACCAGGCAAGGGGGTCCACGCCTGTAATCCCAACACTCAAGAGGAGGATTGCCATGAGTGTGAGGCCAGCCTGGGCTACGTAACAAGACCCTACCTCAGAACAAAAGAGAACAAAACTTTAAAAATTGAAAAAATTAGCCTTAAACTGGAAATGCATTTCACTTCTGGGCCTCTTGAAGCATTTGATTCTGTTTTGCATAGTCAGAATTTCTTAGCATTTATCTCAGAAGCCGGGCAATATTCCAGTAAGAGAGAGTGACATTGATTTGGATATTTGTACAGATTTCATTGCAGTCAGGGAACCATAGACCTTGTTCCCATGGCAGAGAACAGAGAACTGGGCTAGACTGACAGAGCCCTTTGCTAACAAGGAAATGATTCTTAAGCTTCATCACAGATGTGAAAATGTTTTCTTATTAAGCCACTATTGTGTGCCAGGCAACGTGTTAAGTGCTTTGCATGCGCTATCTCATTTAATAATCCTCATTTACTGACGAGAATCCGAGACTGTGAGATTCATTCCCTGCCAGCTGGCAAGCGCGGAGCTCAGGCTCCATTTCTCTGTCTGATACAAAGCCCAGCTCCCGACCACTGTGCCACTTTGCCTCCCATATGGAGAGGAGCTTCCTGGCAGCAGAGCCTGGGCTCATCTCCGATCCCCTCCCTTGGATTCTGTCCTCCTGACCAGTAGCCTGGAGGCTGAGTACTTCTATGGAGAGGACCTGGAGTGCTAGGGCTGGGAAACAGAGCGGAGGTGATGGGGTCTCATGTGTCTGAGGTGTATAGATGTCAGAAAGGTGGCACTTAGCACTTAAACCAGAATCTTTGCTTGCTTCTCACGTTGTCTTAGCTCCAAATTAAAACAAACCAAAAATGCTCAATCTACACTCAGATGCTTTGTAATCCCCGGTAATCACCTCCCTCACCTTTCTATGGCTGTGAGAGAAAATCTTGGAACACGGATTTAAAGGAGGAAAGAGCTGGGGGACCTCAGTGGAAGAGTGCCTGCCACCTCAACATGTGTGCGACCAGGGTTTCGTTCCTAGGACTACAGAAAGAAGAGGGGGGGTCAGATAAAAAAGAAGGAAAGATTGATTTCGGTCACAGTTTCCAAGCTTTCAGTCCATGGCTGCTGGCTGTGTTGCTCTTGGGCCTGTGGCAGGGAAGAGCAGCATGATGGGGCCACATGGCAGGGCAGAGTTCACCTTGGACCAGCCAGGAAACGGAGAGGGAGGGAGGGGATGGCTGGGGCCTGATATCCTCTGAAAGACGAACCCCAATGCCTAACTTCCTGCCTTTATGTCCCACCTCCTTAAGTTTCCGCTGCCTCCCTGGAGCACTACAGACTGGCAACCAAGCCTTCAACACACAGCCTTTGGGGGACATTTAAGATCTAAACTTACAGGCATGGTGGCACATGCATGCAGTCCCAGCACTCGGGAAGCTGAGGCAGGAGGATCACTGCAAGTTCAGGGTCAGCTAGGGGTGCATAGTGACTTCAAGGCCAGTCTGAACTGCATAGAATAAATACTGTAAATAAGATAAAAATAAATAAAGTCATGCATAGCATGCATCCAAGTCGCTGTTGCGTTAGGAACTTGCCGAGTCCCAGC